GTTACACAAAGCTAGTATGTAGGATTGTAAACCTTGCTCAACACCTATGGCGATAGGTCTGAAACTTGGTAAGGAAGATGGTGAAGTTTTTGATCAACCAACACTCTATAGAAGCATTATTGGAGGGTTGCAATACCTTATTCTGTCCAAACCAGATCTGGCGTTTTCTATCAATAAGTTAAGTCAGTTTTTGTAGCATCCTACAGCAGTTCACTGGACAGCATGTAAAAGAGTTCTACGGTATGTTAAGGGTACTTTGGAGTATGGTATTCTGTTTACAAGAGATAAACCTTTTACTTTAGAAGCATTTTTCGATGCAGATCGGGCTGGAGATGTGACTAATCGGAGGTCAACCAGTGGCTACAATGTATTTCTTAGTGGAAACTTGATTCAATGGTCTTCCAGAAAACAGAAACTAGTGTCATTATCTTCTACTGAGGTGGAGTATAGGTCACTCAGTCAAGCCGTTACTGAACTGGTATAGGTGCAACATTTGTTTATTGAACTTGGGATTCCTATAAGTAATACTCCAGCGGTTTGGTGTGATAATATGAGTGCTAGAGCATTGTCATCCAACCCTATTTTTCATGCCCGCACAAAACACATCGAGATTGATGTGCATTTTGTACGGGAGTTGGTCACCAGAAAATTGCTGAATGTTCAGTATATTGCTTCCGAATATCAAATAGCAGATATTTTAACGAAGGCTCTAACAATTGCTAGATTTGCAATGTCAAGGGACAAACTAAAAGTCAGCTCTTCTTTGCCCAGTAGTACTGAAAGTTGAGAAAAATGTTTTCTGGTTCAAAATAGCCTACAGTGTTTTAAAGTGATCTGTAGTAATTTGATTTGTGGTTTGTGGTTTGCTGCAATTTTTTTGTTCTGGTTTAGATATGATAAATATTGTTGCTTTGGCAAATTTGAAGTTGCAAGGTTTGAATTTGTTATGCTAAATCAAGTGTCTGCACGGGAGTTGTGTTATGTTGATATATGGTATGCTACAGAATTATTTTTTTGTTGAGCAGATTTGAAGATACAGGGGAGTTGTATTGTGTTGATAGAATGTTTGTGTAAGGCTTGAAGATTGTGAATATGGTATGCTGCAGAATTTTATGTTGTGAGTATGTTATGATGCAGAATTTTATGTTACAGAATTAGTCTTGTTGAAGTAGATTTGCAGAGAAGGCAGAATTGTATGCTGGAATTTTATGTTGCAGAATTATTATTGTTGAAGTAGATTTGCAGAGAAGGCAGAATAATATAATAAGGCTTGAAGTTGTGAATATGGTATGCTGCAGAATTTTATGTTGTGAGTATGTTATGCTGCAGAATTTTATGTTACAGAATTAGTCTTGTTGAAGTAGATTTGCAGAGAAGGCAGAATTGTATGCTGGAATTTTATGTTGCAGAATTATTATTGTTGAAGTAGATTTGCAGAGAAGGCAGAATTGTATGCTGCATATTTTTTTCAAGGCAGAATTGTATGCTACAGATTTTTTTTCTTGTTGAGCATATTTGCAGAGAAGGTAGAATGAAAATATTACCATTGTGAGGATGCTGTGAAGATTGTTGAGCAGTTTGGTTTAAGGGAAGATATGAAATATAAAGGTAGTACAGAATGCTGAGAAGATTCTTGAGTAGTTTGGTTTAAGGGATAAAGATAGTATAGTAGCTCAGTTTAAGAGAGAATATAGAATATATTTTGGGTGTGTTTGCAAACTATTAGACTTATGTAATCTTGGGGGTGTGTCTGTAAAATATCAGACTTATGTAATGCGGTGCGTTTTGTAATTGTATGTATACTGTACGCGTTTGTAACAGATTCAATTAGTAAAGTTTTTTTTGTTTTTCTCTTCAAACAGAGTATCGTTTTTCTCTAGTTTTCTTGCATCTTTTCTTGATTTTCTTCTAATCTTTCACTTGGTGAGGATCTTGACAGGGTCTTGGCCAAATGAGCGTGAGAGAGATGGTTGCGTGAGAGTCTCAGAGAGATGGCGTGAAATTAGGAGAGATTGAGAGAAATGGCGTGAATTAGGAGAGATCGAGAAAAATGGCGTCAGTCCTATTTGTCTAATGCTAGCTGACCAATCATGAACTACCATATCATGATTGTATAAAAAGGTTTTATGAAAAAATTGTAAGTGTAGTTTTATTGCTAAATTTCTACTTCAAGTGGTTGAAAAACAAAAACAAAATAATAAAATAAACACTATTTGGGTTTCGCTAAGTAGTAAAAATTTGCAGGTGCTTTTATCTTGCTATAAAGATACTCCTCCATTTTTCCTAAATATTCACTCAGAGTTAAGGATAAATATTTGTGTGGTAACAGTTCCTCCTCTTCAAGGAGTATTTGTTATATTGTCTTCACAACTAGAAGTGACCAAAACAATCTCACCATCATGTCTTGGACATGGACTTCACTTGCACTTGTAGCCCTTGTCTTCTTCCTCCAAGCATTTCTCTGGAAAAAAGACTCAAAAACTAAGAGACTACCTCCAGGTCCGAGAGGGTTCCCAATTTTTGGAAGCCTTCATTCGTTGAGAAAGTTTCCTCACAAAGATTTTCTTGAACTTGCCAAAAAATATGGCTCCATCATGTTCTTACGTTTAGGCTCGATTCCTACTATTGTTGTTTCATCACTCACGCTACTAAGCAGTTCCTAAAAACTCAAGACCTTGTTTTTGCCAGCAGGCCTCCTGTTGAAGCTGCAAAACACATAGCTTATGGGCAAACTACAAGAAAAATGGCTTTCCGCATCTAGCAAAATTAGACGCTTATAGTAAAATTTAGACGCTAAATGTCTTACGCGTCTAAATTTTGTAGTCTTCACGTAGTTGCAAAATCGCTATCGTAGAAAGTATGGGCATTAAAAAGTTGGTTAGATATGGAAATTTTTTTTGGCGACTATAAAATTAGTCGCTAATTACTAATTGAAATAGTCCCCCACTTAGACGCTAAATGTGTAAGGGTAATTTGGTAAAATTACATCACGACTAATCAATTAGTTGCAAAATGTACCTTTAGTGACTAATAATTTGTCGCGAATGCCACAAATATTAGATGCTAAAGTTGTAAGGGTAATTTCATAAAACTTTTTTGTGACTATTTTATTAGTGGACAAATATATCTTTTGGTGACAAAAATTTAGTGGTTAGTTCCAATAATTTTAAATGCTGAATGTAGAATCCAAATATGATGAATTTCTTTTCGCTACTAAAAAATTAGTTGCAGAATGTGTTTTTTTGTGAGAAAATAATTAGTGGCAAAAGTATTTCGTTTTTAGTGGGGAAATGTATATACCCAATTTGGTTTCTTACATTTTGTAACTAATGTTTAGTCATTAAAATCAATTTTTTGCATCTAAATAATATAGTAACCGATCGTATATGAGTTTTGGAAATTAATTATTTTAGTCCGATATTATTTATTAGTCTTTGCTACTGTATTATTTCTACAACTAATAATTTAATAGCTAATTGGTTAACATTTAAGAGCATTATTTTTTAATATTATATATTCAACATCAACAAAATAATTGTTTTTTGTTTCAGCATCTCCAACATTTGAAAATGTTGTTTTTCAAGCATTTTTATTTTCTGTTCTTTTTTTTTTTTTTTTTATCAAATAAGATGAGCTACTCCTCCAACAGTTTAATCTTATTTTCTTGTTGTTGCACTATGCGCCTTAACTCTGCTTCTGCTCCTTCAAGCATTGTTGACGAATGTATCATTTTTTCCTAACATCAATTCAATGCATAATCAATAAGTCAAGCAAGAAACTAAATAATTACAAATAAATTATAATTATTCTGGGGTATACAATATGTGACAAAAACTTGTGAAATAGCAACAGAAAATAAAGACTACTCCTCAAAGTTCACAGAACGTACTGCAGCACCAAACCAAAATCAAAATGACGGAGTAGAAAAGCAAGTATCTCACAGATTATCAATCTAAAGTTCAATTCCCTAGTTTAAAATTTTAAACTAAGTTAAATTTCTACTTTCATTCAGCCAAATGTGTTTTGTTAGAATACATCCTTGTTCATAAAGGCTATAAATGTTTGAAATCTGATGGAAAAATAGTCATCTCATCTAGTGTCAAGTTTAATGAACATTAATTTCCTTTTGCCAATAATCTTGGTTTCAATTCAAGGTCTGATTCTGGTCCCAATTTCTGTGCTTTTGATTGTTCATCTAATACATTGCATACATCTTCATCTTTACCATTCACCGTTGTTCTGCATGCTGTTCCTTCACCACTAACTCCAAAAAATCCTTCCACTGTTACTGATTTCAAGTTACACACTACTTACCCTACTACACAATCAACATCTAAAGATCAAATTGTAGCAACTACTTCTTAGAGTCAATCGGATAACATTACAATAGCCAGCACCAACTCACCAATTTCGACCAAACACTTTCTCATAACAGTTTATCCCGAGGACAACCAACAACAATTTCAATCTTAGATATTGATCCTTCAAACACCTTAAACATAGAAATCTCTCAAATGGTACAATCCCTTCCTTCACCACATTGTTGTCCCACAGTTTCAACTTTTCCCATTGTCACCTTATCAAATTCAATCCCTTCAAATTCAGCCTACCTAAGTTAAATTTCTACACAAGTTTACCAATATCATAACTTTACCAGTGTTTGCAGTGTAATTTTAGTTAACCAACATCATAAATTTCTACATAAATGTATGAGAGGTAAAAAGATAACAATGAACTAAAAAAAATAGTGTCAAAAAACTCAGAACTAACCTTTATGTGAGCTGAAGCCTTGTCAGTTGTTGTGAAGACCCCAGAAGATTCAACAATATACTCAACCCCATAATCGCCCCAAGGGATCTCAACCGGGTCCCTAGGTAGAGAGTTAAATGTTAGACCTTAAGTAGAATCAATTACTTATGTTTGCAATAAAACCACGCCAGTATATAAATCTTAATTTGATCTATGAGGCCCTACCTTTTGTTGAAAATTTTAATCTGCTTCCCATTTATTTCCAAAGTGGATTCATCCACAACCTTGAGGGTTCCCTTAAAAACTCCATGATTGGAATCATACTTAAACATGTAAGCCTGCAAGAGAAGAGAAAAAAAAAAAAAAAAAAAGTGAGCAACAACAACTCCTTTCCATAATTTGAAGAAGTCTAACAAATCATTACCATGGTAAATATTTGACTTGAGAGATGAGCAATCATTTATCGAGGAACAAAAATTTTATACTACCAAACATAATCATGAAGCAAAAAAAGACTCAACCAAACACTTTTATATTACCACAGAAACTTTCAATAAAAAATTGCACATAAAATAACTATATGAATCATTTTTTAATAGTTAAACATCCACCAACCAAAGAGAACTTAACAAATAAAAGTGCGACAAAGCGCAACTAATTGTGCATCCTTACCATGTACTTGGCATCAACAAAAGGATCATTTACTGCTACCATGTCAATATCATCCTTGGAGGTTGCTACTCTCAAAACCAGTCTTCCAATGCGACCAAAACCTGCAAAAGTTTAGCAACAAATGAGTTATCATTGTTGACTATAAAGTAAATAGACAAAATAGCTTTGCACTGTCTGATACGCTGTCATTTCTTGTAAAACTGATTATTGTTAAATTAGTTTGTGCAGCAGCTTAATATAAAAGCTATACTCTCAACTTTACTTTTTAAGAATTAATACAGTACATTCACACTCTTCTTCCTCTTCGATACTCTGTTTTTCTGCTCTATTTTGCTTTTCCTTTCATGGTTTCAGAGCCACTGACTTGTGTCAATGGCAAACACCTCTCATTCACTCAACAACTCTAACGAGATGTTGAAGCATTCAACTAATCAAACCACATCAGTTCCAGTACTGAGCTTGCAGGTAATCAATCCAAAGCTCACGCAAAACAACTATCGCTTTTGGTGTTCCCAAGTCCTATCTACCATTGGCTCACACGAGCTTGAAGATCACCTTCTTGGTAGAGTTTCTTGTCCTTCCCCTCTGTTAATTTCTGATTCTCAGATTGAGCATGACTTAGGTCAAATAGGGAATATTGTTAAAGTCAGTAATGTCTCTGTAGATGAGAAACTAAATCTTGCTTATATAATGTGGAAGAGAACCAACAAGTTCTTGGTTAGTTGGCTTTTGGCGTCAATTTCAAAAAGCATGTTTGGTAATGTTTCAAAGTGTAGAAGTTCTACTAAAATTTGGTTAGCCCTAGAAAATGAATTCATTACCAACTCCAAAGCAAGAGCCCTACACCTTAAGAATTTGCTCTAAACAACACAAAAAGGCAATCTAAGTATAGGTGACTATGTTAAAAAAATGAGAGAGATTGCTGAAAGTTTGTCCGCAAGTGGACTTATTATAGCTGATGAGGACTTACTACAGTATGTAATTGATGGTCTTGGACCAGAGTTTGATCCTGTTGAGGTGAATTTAACCTCAAGAATTGAGTCAAAATTTGACTCTGTTACACTGCAAGAAGCACCGTTTTTGCTTCAAAAGTATGAGATTTGTCTAGAAAAATTCAAATCGGTTGATCTCTACAATTGTTCTGCTAATATAGCCTCTACTGATAACTCAAATAGTAGCACAAATTTGCCTTTCCAAATTGAGTCAGTGAATCAACAACAGTCTGCCAAAACCTTGGGTTCTACTTATAATATTGCACCTTCTCTGATATCTTTAGGTAACCCACACTATCCTCAACCTCCTATCATACCTTCTCAAACATATAGCCAACCTGTTCCTCATAACAGACCTCCTATATTTGGAATGACCTATGGCCGAGGAAGGGGTAGGAATACTAGAAGAGGAAGACTGATTTGTCAATTATGCAATAAGGGAGGACACTCAGCAGGACAGTGTTATCATCGGTATAATTCTGCTTATACTGGAGCAATACAACCCTCATTTGGTAATGTAGCATCTCACTATGAAGACTCTTACAATGGTTCTGTTCCTTTCAATAATAATGGTGGAGCTCCTTCTTCTTATGCTGGTCCTACTAACTTCAATAGCCTTGGTGGAGTTCAAATGCCCTATAATGGTTTTGTTCCTGTTAATGGGAATGGTTATGGTCAGTTTAATGGTACTAGTGGTGTTTACAATTAGTCAACTGGTGCTCAGCAAACACACAATACACAACATGGGAACACCTCTGCTTTGGGAGTTCCTAGCCAACAACCTACTGGTTCAAGTCAAGCTCATTTTGCATCTATTGGATCTTCAACTTACTCAAATTCTGTTGGCATACCATCTTTACAACATACCAATACAGCAGCAACACTTCCCATACAGCTAAATCAACAGTACACTCTTGCAACATCACTAACCCCAACAAATCCAGTGTGGTATATGGACTTTGGGGCTACTGATCATGTCACTGCAGACTTGAATCACCTGCATATTAGTAAGAACTACAATGGAAGTGATCAACTTTAGGTTGGGAGTGGTGAGTATCTCAACATTTCTCATACAGGTTATACCTTTATTCCTAGTAATCTGCACTCTAAATGCTTACATCTTAAAAATATTCTTTGTTTCCCTAAAATCACAAAAAATCTATTAAGCATCTCCAAGTTTACCAAAGATAACAATGTGATAGTTGAATTTGATGCTAATTGTTGTATTGTAAAGGACAAGTCCACAGGAGCAATGTTGCTGCAAGGGGACCTTAAAGGTGGCTTGTACCAGCTAAATTCACTTCCCATTCAAACCTTCTCCAGTCCCTCCATGACCAAAAGTCAAATTTCTTCTCAACTAGCCTCTGTCACCTCTGTTGCCAACATCAAACAAGTCTATTCAGATTCTCAGAATCATTCCATGTACTGTAACAAGAAAATTAGTTCCTTAGAGTCAAATAGTTGCCCTAAAAGTTCATCTAATGTTTCATCTGTTGTGTTGAATAATGAAAACTATTATCAACCTGTATTGAGTGAGTCATGCGTCACCAATGTTTCTCATTGTATTGCTTCTATTGATAATAAAACTAAGGATGATAGCTCTATGGTTTCTAATAATACTATTGCATCTATTTGTTCACAAGCTTCTGCTAATGATATTTTCTTGTGTTTAAATTCTGATGCTTCTATAAATGAGAATGTTTTTACTTCATCTGCTCATTCACATACTGCTAATTCATATACAAATGACATGGCTACATCGGCTCACTCATATACTGCTCATCCACATACAAATGACATGTTTTGTCTAATTGCCAACACTCATCACTCTGATTATAGTCTATGGCACAAACGGTTAGGACACCTAAATTCCAAAATCCAACGACAAATTTTATCAGACCTACATATCAAATTTCCCTCCAATTTAAACACCTCATCTAGTTCTAATCTTACTTTCTATGATGCTTGCCAACTAGGCAAATTGCATCAAAACAATTTTCCCATTTCAAGATCTCATGCCACTGCCCTTTTAGAGTTAATACATAGTGATGTTTGGGGTCCAGCCCCTTGCACTTCAGTTAAAGGTTTTAGATACTATATTCAGTTCCTATATGACTACAGTAGGTTTACATGGCTATTCCCTCTCAAAACTAAAGCTGAATTAAGGTCAGTTTTCATTAAATTTCATCATCTTCCTGAAAGACAATTTGATTGTAAAATTAAATATTTGCAATCTGACCGAGGAGGTGAATATAAGGCTCTTCTTCCATACTTGACTGAACAAGGTATTCAAGTTAGATACTCATGTGCATATGTTCATCAACAAAATGGTAGGAGTGAAAGAAAGCATAGACATATTGTAGAGTCAGGTCTTACACTCCTTGCTCATGCATCCATGCCCTTGACATTTTGGTGGTTTACTTTTGAGACAACTATTTATCTCATAAACAGAATGCCTATTGCCAAACTTCATAATATTTCACCCTATCAAGCATTAATTCATCAAGTTCCTGTTTATGATAGCTTAAGAGTTTTTGGATGTTCTTGTTTTCCTTACCTTAGGACCCATAACAAGCACAAGTTTGATTTTCATACGGTTAAGTGTACCTTTGTAGGCTACAGTTTAATTCACAAAGGGTATAAGTGTTTAAAATCTGATGGACATGTTGTAATTACTCCTAATGTTCGATTTAATGAGTTTGAGTTTCCCTTTGCCCTCACCAATTCAAGTTCTTCATCTCAAACTCAGTCCTCCACTCTAGACACTCAAACCACAACAGTTTCAGTTTCTTCTCCCGTAGTTACTACCAATTCTTTTCAATCATTAGCTGGCACAGCCTCACCTACAGTCTCTTGCTCCATGGACAAGTCCTACCAAGCTCATGCAACAAATGGTAAGAATTTTTCTCCTAATCTTATGGTATCCACTGACACCACTCAACAACACTCTCCCCATACCAGTAACCCAAATACTACAGCACACACTACAGTCTCATCTTTACAACCTTGTCACCTTATAGTTGATCTCACATCTTCCCATTTCCCTAACACAGCAGTTACCTCTCCTTGTCCTAAAACTCATGTGCAATCCTTAGATAATCCAACTAGTAGTCTTTCTCCTAGTAGTCCTTCTCCAACTACCACTCCAAATACTGCCCCTACCTACAAATCCTTTTCACCTAACCACTCATCCATCTCACCATGTCCAAATCAGCCTATAAACACTGAGACCTTATCTAAGTCACCTTGTCAGCTTGTAGTTGACCTTACTGCCTCCCAGTTCCCTGATCTAGTAGGTGTTTTGAGTCTTAACAGTTCACATGATCAGTCCTCAGTCAGTACAAATGGCCTAGATAATTCTTATACTGTTTCTCATGCTGCTGTGCCATCTACAAACATACATCCTATGATTACAAGAGCTAAATCAGCTGCTGGATTACAGTTGGTAACTCCCAATCCAGATGACATTCATCTAGCTTACTTAGTTGATGGGTTCAAGGTTCCTGAAACAAAATTCAAGTCAGTGTCTGATGTACTTGATGGGTGTAAAACTACTGAACAGAAAATCCAGTCAGTGTCTGATGTACTTGTTGGGTGTGAAACTATTGAACAGAAAATCAAGTCAGTTTCTGATGTACCTAATGAGTGTAAAATTACTGAGCAGAAATTCAAGTCAGTTTTTGATGTACTTGATGGGTGTGAAACTACTGAACAGAAAATCAAGTTAGTTTCTGATGTACCTAATGAGTGTAAAGCAGCTGAACAAAAATTCAAGTCAGTTTCTGATATATGTAGTAGTCAGTATCAGTTGGTAACTCCCAATCCAGATGATATTCATCTAGCTTACTTAGTTGGTGGGCCTGAAGTTCCTGAACCAGAACCCAAGTCAGTTTCTGATGCACTTAGCAGTAAAAATTGGAAGGTTGCTATGCAAAGTGAATTTGATGCTCTTATGCAGAACAATACTTGGACTCTTGTACCCTTCTCTCTAGATATGAATGTTGTTGGAAATAAATGGGTGTTTCGCACAAAGTTTAATGCTGATGGTTCTCTTCAGAAGTACAAAGCTAGATTGGTTGCCAAGGCTTTTCAACAAACTCATGGCTTGGATTACTTTGAGACATTTAGTCTAGTGATCAAACCATCAACTATAAGAATTATTCTAACCATTGCAGTTACAAATGGCTGGGATATCCAACAGATTGATGTTAACAATGCATTTTTAAATGGGGTACTAACAGAAAATGTTTTTATGCAGCAACCTTCAGGCTTTGAAGATCAATCTTTTCCAAAGGCTGTTTGTAAGTTGAATAAGGCTTTATATGGCCTTAAGCAGGCTCCTAAAGCATGGTTGAAAAGTTGAAAACTGCTCTTCAGCAAAAAGGGTTCCAAAACTCTGTTTCAGACTCAAGTCTCTTCACTCTTAAGTAAGTTTCAGGTTCTATCTATGTTCTTGTGTACGTTGACGACATACTAATCATTGGTTCAGATGTTATCTTTATCACTCAGTTGATGAAAGATCTCAACAATGATTTTGCTTTAAAGACTCTTGGGTCAATCAAATACTTTCTCGGTTTAGAAGCAACTAGGACATCTACTGGTCTGCATTTGAAGCAATCCAAATATGTTGTTGATCTTCTTATTAAAACCAAGATGATGGAAGCACATGCTTGTTCTACTCCCATGAATGTTGGCATAAAATTGAGTTCAACCGATAGTGAAATATTTCAGAATCCTAATTTATACATCAGTACGATTGGTGCATTACAATATTTGACTCTTACAAGACCTGATCTAAGTTTCATTGTGAATAAGCTGAGTTAGTTTTGCCAAGCTCCCACTGAACTCCACTGGCAAGCTTGCAAGAGGGTGCTACAGTATGTTAAAGGTACTATCCACTATGGCTTAATTTTCAAACCAGCAAAGGCATTACATGTTGAATGCTATGCTGATGTTGATTGGGATGGAAACCTTGAAGATTGGAGATCAATCAGTGGTTATTGTGTTTATCTAGGACCAAATTTGATTGAATGGAGTTTTAGAAAACAGAAGGTTGTTGCTCTTTCCTCCACTGAAGCTGAATATAGAGCTCTAGTCCATACGGCAACAGAGGTAGCTTGGTTGGAGAGTTTGTTTACTGAATTAAGTTTGATTTTTCATACTACTCCAGTTATTTGGTGCGATAATGTTAGTGTTGGAGCCCTTGCATCTAATCCTGTGTTTCATGCCAGGACTAAACATATTGAAATTGATGCTCATTACATTCGGGAGCAAGTTTTAGCCCAAAAGGTGGCCATTCAATATGTTCCTTCCAAATTACAAATAGCTGATGTTCTTACAAAGGCTTTATCAGTCAGTCAATTCACTGATTTAAGGAGAAAGTTGAATGTCACTATACTTGGTGAAGAGAGTAGCTAAGAAGAAATTTTTTTAGTGTTATGCAGTTTTTTTTTTTTACTAATTGAAGTTATGTGATGGAGTACTTGCTGTGCTGGTATAGTTTTATGTAGTGCTGGTTACAGTTTTATGATTGTTTCTGTGTTGACTGAAGTGTTATGCAGTTCAGTGATGGAGTGCTTGTTGTGCCAGTATAGATTTATGAAGAGTGTTATGCAGTTCAGTGATGGAGTACTTGCTGTGTCAGTATAGTTTTATGATTGTTCTATGCTGACTAAGTGTTATGCAGTTCAATGATGGAGTGCTTGCTGTGTCAGTAGAGATTTATGCAGTGCTTGTGAAATTTTTTTTAGTGAAGAAGTCTTATGTAGTTCTATGATTGTTGTAGTTTCTATATGTTGGTTGCAATTTTTTTTAGTTGATCTATGAAGTTCTGTGTTGGTTGAGGTTTATGCAGTGATGTGCTGCTGAAGAAGTGTTTTGCTGGGTTGCTTTACAGTGTTTTTCTGCTGTAAATCCTTTGCAGTGTTGAGCTATACAGTGATCTGCAGTTATATTTGAGGGAGCATATTGAAGTTTTTCTGTAGTTGTGTTGTTGAAGATTTATGAATTTTTCTGCTGAAGTTTTTCTGCAGTTGTGTTGCTAAAGATCAGAAAAATGTTGTGTTGCTGAAGAAAAATTATGAAGCTGTGTTGTTGAAGATTTATGAAGTACAAATAAAGTTTTTGTGCTGTAATGTTTGAGGGAGCATATTGAAGAACAAGAAGGATGGAAGAAATTTGCTGAAGTATACAAGAAAAGATGTTGGAGTATTATGAAATTGTATACAGTCACATTTGAGGGAGCATGTTAACTATAAAGTAAATACACAAAAATAGACAAAATAGTTTTGCACTGTCTAACACACTGCCGCTTCTTGTAAAACAACTGATTATTGTTAAATCAGTTTGTGCAGCAACTTAATATAAAAGTTGTACTCTCAACTTTACTTTTTACGAATTGATACAGTACATTCACACTCTTCTTCCTCTTCAATACTCTGTTTTTCTGCTCTATTTTGCTTTTCCTTTCAATCATATCACAATTCTTAAGTAAAAAGCCTTTATCTGAAATGAATAAGAATATATGCAATCGTAAATATTGAGATTTCCAGTATTCAAAACGCTAGAAAGATGAGCAACTAATGAACTCTTCATTACAACATAACAAATTATCAGTCTAACAAATACGCCATAAGAACTCAAATACCATCTGTTAAAACACATCAAACACTAAGCTCCTAAACCTTTTATAGCTCCTTGTAATATTTAGTTAGAGATGAACACAACTCTTCAGCTACTTTCGCAAGGCAAATCCCTTCAAAGTCAAAATAAGCAAAACAAAGCATAGTTCCAATCAGAGTAAAACATACCATTGATTCCAATCTTTGTGCTCCCACTGCTCCGAGTTTTTAACAAAACAAAACAGACCAGCACACTATTAAACTAGTTTCCAACTTATGAATCACTAAATGAAATCCTTTTATTCTTACTTTGAACTGTGGGTGGCAACTCTGTAGCAGTGGCTTTGATTGGTTGAATACTCTTGGCAACATATCTCCCGCATAATTTAACACAAAAGAGTCCCACTATTAACAACAAAACAAGAACGAAACAAACAGATGCATCACCGATGTTAATTACTAGGTCACTCAACTGTGCTTGAAGTGTTGAGATTAAACCTAACACATGAACCCTGCGAAAATTGCATTATATAAATATGTTATTAGAATGCAGAAGCAAACTTTTAAAACAGCTTCTTAAATTTTAAAAAATAAACAAATAAATAAAAAAGATCATCCAAAATCAATACTTAAAACAACATAACACGATTTAAAAAGAGAAAGAAAATTATTCGAACACTTTTCGGTGACATTACTGAAATTGAAAACAGAACTGTTATGAAACAAACTGGCCGTACAATGTTGTCCGTATCGGTAATGTCAGAGAAGCCAGTTACCTAAACTCAGATAAGCTTAATATATAAATATATTTCCAAATATATTAAATGTAATAAACTTCTAGTTTTAATTCCATAAGCACCAAAATAAATAAAAGAAGCAACTGAGATTCCAAGCTCAGTTCAGTCAACAACAACCAAACGGAGCTTCTAAAAAACCAAGGCAAAAACAGAGGATGGCGATCGGACCTTGAGACGATCGGAGGAGGAAGAAGAGAAGTCGGTGGCGCGTGAAAGAGAAACGGTGGGCGTAGATCTAAGGACAGAAGAGAAAGCCATTTGTTGAAAACAACAGTGCCACTTTTCCCGAGGCTTCTCTTTTTAACAAGCAGAAACCCTAGTAAAGAGGAATAGAATAGAAAGGAGAGGGCTGGCTTTTGTGTTTTGAGAGGAGGCATTGGCCAAAATACGAAATGAAGTGTTTTTAAAAGCAAAAGAAAGCAATTGGCTTCGTTTGGTTCAAAATTTGGGGGTTTTGGGAAAAGTTTTTTGAAAAAAGTTAAAAAAAAGTTGAATTGGGCGGGTATTACGATGTAGAATTTATAAATTAATAAAATACCCTTTATGTTTGTTTTTTAACAAAATATCCCCTATAATAAAACATTAAAAGTTAACAAAAATACCCCTAACCCATCCTCAAACACCCCCAGCCGGCGACCACCACCGGAGGTAGCAGGAGTCACCGTATGGGCGCATGACCGGTTGGATCTTGTCGGTCATGCGTCGCTATGGCCTTTTCCGGTCAGATCCACGGTGGATCTAGCCGGAAAAGGCCAGATCTATGGTTGGCCGAAAAAGGCTAGATCGGTGCATTACCGGCCAGATTCAGCCGGTAGTGCGCCATCCTACCAGATTCCAGCCATTTTCCGGTAGTGGTGGCCAGAATCTGGTAAATGTGGATTGTTGGGATGTTTTTGTAATTTTAAAAAAAATATTTAGGGGTATTTAATTAAATTAACAAATTTAGAGGGTTTAAAAAAATTAAATAATATTGAAAATAGTATTCCCAAAAATGAGAGATTTTGGGTATTTTACTGTTTAACTTTTTTGGGAATACCAAGAGTAGTATTCCCAATCTTGAACCAAACGGAGCCATTGTTTTTTCTCAGTTTTGGGTCAAGCATTGCAGAGAATCCCAAACCCATAACAAGGAAATTAAAGTCTAAGATGCCAATAAAACCTCTGAGTCAACAAAGAAATGATGCCTATAATAATGGCACCAATTCACAAGTTATCAAACAAAATTCAAGTATCATTGAGAACTAATTATTATGTCAAAATGCAATGTCAATACATGAAAATACATCAGTTTCTCAATATTTGAAATCAGATTCAATGTTACCATATGAGAGAACCAAAGGACCAAAATTTGTACTTACTGGAGGAAAGGGACTGCCTCGTATTGGATGAATAAAGGAAGCCAAGAAGATCAATTGAAACATGAAGATGCATGGAGAAGAGATGAGGTGAGGTTCTGCATTTGGGAAATTCAGGAAATACGGATTAAGATGAAGATGCATCAAGAAGAGATGAGGTAAGTTTCTGCGTTTGGAAAATTTGGAGAAATAGCTAGGGATTCCAATGAAGATGCGTGGAGAAGAGTTTAGGGATTGGGAAAAAAGGCTTGCTTTATATAGGTTAGGGTTTTTGTAAATAACTTTAAAAAGTAATGCTTTTATTTATTCGTTTAATTTTTAAATGTAATTATATTTGGCAAATAAGTAAATTTGAACTAAACATTTAGTCACAAAAGAATTAGTCTTAGTTGCCTATATTTTAGGTCTGGCAGGAACAAATAATTTGGGGGAACATGAATTTTTCAACTTAAATTGGCAACTAAACCAAATTTAGTTGCTGTAGATAATTTTTTGCAACTATTGTTAATATGAATACAAATATTTGTTGCTAAAAATACCTTGGGCCCCTTGTGATTATTGTCTAAATATGGGATATTTTGATAATTTCATTATTTTATAACTAATCATAATAGTTACTAATAAATTCCTAATTATTGACAACTAATTTAGTTACAAAGGGTTAGTTGCAAAAAATTGTTTTCTGTAACAAAAAATGTAGATGCAAAATATAATATTTTAGATGTAAATTGTCAAATTATGAAGGGAAAAATCACCCACTAAAAATGACAATTAAATTTATTAATCACTAAAGCAACCTGTCGTAGAAAATGACAATTAAATTTATTAATCACTAAAGCAACCTGTCGTAGAAAATTAACTTTAGACGCCAAAAGTTAGAAGATATGGACCCCAAAATTTTAATCATCTTTGCCCGACCAATAGCAATTTAGTTGGTGAATGTAGCCTTTATGCAACTAATTCTGGTCGATTGCCAAAAAATTCGTTGCAGAATGTAGTTTTTCTCGTAGTGACTTGTCCTTTTCACCTTATGGATCTTATCGGCAAGCCATGCACAAGATTTCTACCCTGCAATTTCTTACCAGTGGTAAGAATAGTTCTTTCAGGGCCATGAGAAAAGAAGAGCTTGATCTCTTGATTAAGCACATAAAAGAGGTTGCTGCTGCCGGTGTTGCAGTTAAGTGACAAGGTCTCATCTCTCAGTTCAGATCTGACTTGTAGAATGGTGTTTGGGACAAAATATGCGGATGTCGAGCTTGATGAGAGAGGATTCAACACTCTGATTCACGAGGGTACAAAATTGGTGGCCATTCCTAACTTGGGTGATTACATTCCTCAAATTGCTTCACTTGATCTGCAGGGGTTGACCAAGCGAATGAATGCGGTTTCCAAGGTGTTTGATGACTTCTTGGAAAGGGTTATTAATGAGCATGTTGATTCCAAGGATGAAAATAGAACAAAGGACTTTGTTGATATCATGTTGAGCTTCTTGGGATCAGAAGAAACCGAATACAAGATTGAGCGACAGCACGTCAAGGCCATGCTCTTGGTAAGCAATCCGAGAATTGTTAGACTTGGAATCCATTTGTTAAATTTAAAGTACTAAAATTTCTTTAGTTTCCAATTACTTTTATATGTTTTTGAATTTCTAATAAAGATTATTTTCTTCTTCTTGAAATGAATATATATGATCAAGACATGCTTGTAGCTACAAAGGACAGTTCAGCTGCAACTATTGAGTGGATACTTTTAGAACTTTTCAAACATCCTGAGATTATGGAGAAAGTACAAAAAGAGTTGGAAAATGTCTTGGGACTAGACAGGATGGTAGAAGAATCAGATATGATGAACTTGGAATCCTCAGACATGGTAGTGAAAAAAACCTTGAGACTCCATCTTGTAGGACCTCTATTAATCCCTCATGAATCACTGGAAGATTGCACAGTAAATAGCTTTCACATATCAAAAAATTCGCACATTTTTGTAAATGCATGGGCAATCGGAAGAGACCCTGAACCATGGACTGATCCTGAAAAGTTTTTCCCGAAAAGGTTTATTGGGAGTAATATTGATCTTCGTGGCCACCACTTCCAGCTTCTCCCATTTGGTTCTGGCCGCAGAAGCTGCCCTGGAATGCAATTGGCACTCACATTTATGAAACTTGTGGTAGCACAACTTCTGCATTGCTTTGACTGGGAGCTTCCAAATGGGATGTTGCCAAGTGAATTGGACATGACTGAGGAATTTGGTCTTGTAACTCCTAGAGCAAATCATCTTGTGGCTATTCCTACTTATCAACTTCACAAATATTGATATGGCCTGTGTAATTTCTGAAATTTTCTTCAGTCATGCACATCAGAATTTGCATGCTACTGAATAATTTTATTTGTATTAATAAGAGGCATTTTCAAAACTAGAATTCAAGCCACTGTATAACTTTTATACGCAAATAAAAAGATCTACTTTATGTTTATTTTATCATTTTTGCTTTTGTTTTGAAATAGTGTGAATCCAGGTTTTGAAAATTTACTCATCCATTTTATCATTTGGAAGCCATCAAGTAAACTGTCCATCCTTTAGTGTAAAGAAAGGGGGACAATGTAGAATCCCAGTTTGTAGCCACTACACTACACTAACTTGTAAATGTTTTAATCTTGTAGTTGTTGTAATGTTCATGAATGATTCAGAATATTCTAAAGATATCATTTTTGGACTATTGGGGATAGGGTTACTTCTCTAGTTCGTACAATTTGTTTTTTTTTGGTAAAATCAGTAGTTTTATTAAAAAAAAAATGTTTCATTACATCAGAAGGTACCGAACTATCACTTTTTTCCTATTAAAGGTATCAAACTATTTTTTTTTTCCTATTAAAGATACTAAACTATCAATTATTTATATTAAAGGTACCGAACTTTAAGTTTTTTCTATTGACGGTACCACTACAAGAAAAACTACATTTTGCAACCAATTTTTTAGCAACTAACCAGAATTAGTTGCAGAAAAGCTACATTTACCATTAGATTGCGATTAGTCACGCAAAGATGATTAAAATTTCGGGGTCCACATGTTCCAACTTTTGAC